CGACAAAAGACAAGACGCTTCTGACTAGGGAAAAAAGTGTTCTGATTATGACATCATAATCTAAAAAAGAAATAAACAAAAGCTTACGGCACCTGAGGTTCCTAGTTGGTCTCCCATACAAGTACTAAGCAGGCCCAAGTCTGCATAACTTGTGAGAACTGACGAGATCGGGCACTTTCAGACTGGTATGGCCGTACGCGAATTTAGCAGAAAGTGATCTCGCTGATGTTGGTATAATATCAAACACTGGTTGCGTCAAAAGACAAGACGCTTCTGACTAGGGAAAGAAGTGATCTGATTATGACATCATAATCTAAAAAAGAAATAAACAAAATCTTACGGCACCTGAGGTTCTTAGTTGTTCTCCCATACAAGTACTAATCAGGCCCAAGTCTGCATGACTTCAGAGATCTGACACTTTCAGACTGGTATGGCCATAGGCAAAATTAGTAGAAAGTGATTTCGCTGATGTTGGTATAATATCAAACACTGGTTGCAACAAAAGACAAGACACTTCTGACTAGGGAAAAAAGTGATCTGATTATGACATCATAATCTAAAAAAGAAATAAACAAAAGCTTACGGCACCTGAGGTTCCTAGTTGGTCTTCCATACAAGTACTAAACAGGCCCAAGTCTGCATGACTTCTGAGATCTGACGAGATCAGGCACTTTCAGACTGGTATGGCTGAAAGCGAAATTAGCAGAAAGTGATATCGCTGATGTTGGTAAAATATCAAACACTGGTTGCGACAAAAGACAAGACGCTTCTGACTAGGGATAAAGTGATCTGATTATGACATCATAATCTAAAAAATAAATAAATAAAAGCTTACGGCACCTGAGGTTCCTAGTTGGTCTCCCATACAAGTACTAAACAGGCCCAAGTCTGCAAGACTTCTGAGATGTGACGAGATCAGGCACTTTCAGACTGGTATGGCCATAGGCAAAATTAGTAGAAAGTGATCTCGCTGATGTTGGTATAATATCAAACATTGGTTGCGACAAAAGACAAGACGCTTCTGACTAGGGAAAAAAGTGTTCTGATTATGACATCATAATCTAAAAAAGAAATAAACAAAAGCTTACGGCACCTGAGGTTCCTAGTTGGTCTCCCATACAAGTACTAAGCAGGCCCAAGTCTGCATGACTTCTGAGATCTGACGAGATCAGGCACTTTCAGACTGGTATGGCCGTAGGCGAAATTAGCAGAAAGTGATATCGCTGATGTTGGTATAATATCAAACACTGGTTGCGACAAAAGACAAAAGGCTTCTGACTAGGGAAAAAGTGATCTGATTATGACATCATAATCTAAAAAAGAAATAAACAAATGCTTACGGCATCTGAGGTTCCTAGTTGGTCTCCCAAACAAGTACTAAACAGGCCCAAGTCTGCATGACTTCTGAGATCTGACGAGATCAGGCTCTTTCAGATCATGGGCTATAGCTAAATTAGGAAAGTGATCTCATGATGTTGGTATAATATCAAACACTGGTTATGCATAAAAGACAGCTCTGACTAGGAAAGTGATCTGATTTTATGACATCATACCTAAAAAGAAATAAACAAAAGCTTACGTAAGAACTTGAGGTTCCTAGTTGGTCTCCCACAAGTACTAATCAAGCCTCCAAGTCTGCATGATCTCTGGAGAACTGACGAGATCACTTTCAGACTGGTTTGCCATAGGCTACCCTAGCAGAAAGTGATCTCGGGCCTGATGTTAAAAGGTAATATCAAATGACTGGTTAAGGCCAAAGACAAGACGCTTCTGGAGAAGTGATCTGATTATGACATCATAATCTAAAAAAGAAATAAACAAAAGCTTACGGCACCTGAGGTTCTTAGTTGATCTCCCATACAAGTACTAATCAGGCCCAAGTCTGCATGAATTCAGAGATTTGACACTTTCAGACTGGTATGGCCATAGGCGAAATTAGTAGAAAGTGATCTCGCTGATGTTGGTATAATATCAGACACTGGTTGCAACAAAAGACAAGACGCTTCTGACTAGGGAAAAAAGTGATCTGATTATGACATCATAATCTAAAAAAGAAATAAACAAAAGCTTACGGCTCCTGAGGTTCCTAGTTAGTCTCACATACAAGTACTAAGCAGGCCCAAGTCTGCATGACTTCTGAGATCTGACGAGATCAGGCACTTTCAGACTGGTATGGCCATAGGCGAAATTAGTAGAAAGTGATCTCGCTGATGTTGGTATAATATCAAACACTGGTTGCGACAAAAGACAAGACGCTTCTGACTAGGGAAAAAAGTGATCTGATTATGACATCATAATCTAAAAAAGAAATAAACAAAAGCTTACGGCACCTGAGGTTCCTAGTTGGTCTCCCATACAAGTACTAAACAGGCCCAAGTCTGCATGACTTCTGAGATCTGACGAGATCAGGCACTTTCAGACTGGTATGGCCATAGGCAAAATTAGTAGAAAGTGATCTCGCTGATGTTGGTATAATATCAAACACTGGTTGCGACAAAAGACAAGACGCTTCTGACTAGGGAAAAAGTACTTGGATTATGACATCATAATCTAAAAAAAGAAATAAACAAAAAGCTTACACCTGAGGTTCCTAGTTGGTCTCCCATGCAAGTACTAATCAGGCCCAAGTCTGCATGATTCTGGAGATCTGACGAGATCAGGCACCTTTCAGACTGGTATGGCCATAGGCTTAAAATTAGTGATCTCATTGATGTTGGTATAATATCAAACACTGGTTATGCATAAAAGTCAAGACGCTTCTGACTAGGGAAGATCTGATTATGACATCATAATAAGTCTGCATGACTTCTGAGATCTGACGAGATCAGGCACTTTCAGACTGGTATGGCCGTAGGCGAAAATAGCAGAAAGTGATCTCGCTGATGTTGGTATAATATCAAACACTGGTTGCGACAAAAGACATGACGCTTCTGACTAGGGAAAGAAGTGATCTGATTATGACATCATAATCTAAAAAAGAAATAAACAAAAGCCTAGGGCACCTAAGGTTCCTAGTTGGTCTCCCATACAAGTACTAATCAAGCCAAAGTCTGCATGACTTCTGAGATCTGACGAGATCAGGCACTTTCAGACTGGTATGGCCGTAGGCGAAATTAGCAGAAAGAAATATCGCTGATGTTGGTATAATATCAAATACTATTTGCGACAAAAGACAAGACGCTTCTGACTAGGGAAAAAAGTGATCTGATTATGACATCATAATCTAAAAAAGAAATAAACAAAAGCTTACGGCACCTGAGGTTCCTAGTTGGACTTCCATACAATTACTAAGCAGGCCCAAGTCTGCATGACTTCTGAGATCTGACGAGATCAGGCACTTTCAGACTGGTATGGCCATAGGCGAAATTAGCAGAAAGTGATATCGCTGATGTTGGTATAATATCAAACACTGGTTGCGACAAAAGACAAGACGCTTCTGACTAGGGTAAAAGTGATCTGATTATGACATCATAATCTAAAAAAGAAATAAACAAAAGCTTACGGCACCTGAGGTTCCTAGTTGGTCTCCCATACAAGTACTAAACAGGCCCAAGTCTGCATGACTTCTGAGATCTGACAAGATCAGGCACTTTCGGACTGGTATGGCCGTAGGCGAAATTAGCAGAAAGTGATCTCGCTGATGTTGGTATAATATCAAACACTGGTTGCGACAAAAGACAAGACGCTTCTGACTAGGGAAAAAAGTGATCTGATTATGACATCATAATCTAAAAAAGAAATAAACAAAAGCTTACGGCACCTGAGGTTCCTAATTGGTCTCCCATACAAGTACTAATCAAGCCCAAGTCTACATGACTTCTGAGATCTGACGAGATCAGGCACTTTCAGACTGGTATGGCCGTAGGCGCAATTAGCAAAAAGTGATATCGCTGATGTTGGTATAATATCAAACACTGGTTGCGAGAAAAGACAAGACGCTTCTGACTAGGGAAAAAGTGATCTGATTATGACATCATAATCTAAAAAAGAAATAAACAAAAGCTTACAGCACCTGAGGTTCTTAGTTGGTCTCCCATACAAGTACTAATCAGGCCCAAGTCTGCATGACTTCAGAGATCTGACACTTTCAGACTGGTATGGCCATAGGCGAAATTAGTAGAAAGTGATCTCGCTGATGTTGGTATAATATCAAACACTGGTTGCAACAAAAGACAAGACGCTTCTGACTAGGGAAAAAAGTGATCTGATTATGACATCATAATCTAAAAAAGAAATAAACAAAATCTTACGGCACCTGAGGTTCCTAGTTGGTCTTCCATACAAGTACTAAGCAGGCCCAAATCTGCATGACTTCTGAGATCTGACGAGATCAGGCACTTTCAGACTGGTATGGCCATAGGCAAAATTAGCAAAAAGTGATATCGCTGATGTTGGTATAATATCAAACACTGGTTGCAACAAAAGACAAGACGCTTCTGACTAGGGAAAAAGTGATCTGATTATGACATCATAATCTAAAAAAGAAATAAACAAAAGCTTATGGCACCTGAGGTTCCTAATTGGTCTTCCATACATGTACTAAGCAGGCCCAAGTCAGCATGACTTCTGAGATCTGACGAGATCAGGCACTTTCAGACTGGTATGGCCGTAGGCGAAATTAGCAGAAAGTGATATCGCTGATGTTGGTATAATATCAAACACTGGTTGCGACAAAGGACAAGACACTTCTGACTAGAGAAAAAAGTGATCTGATTATGACATCATAATCTAAAAAAGAAATAAACAAAAGCTTACCGCACCTGAGGTTCCTAGTTGGTCTCTCATACAAGTACTAATCAAGCCCAAGTCTGCATGACTTCTGAGATCTGACGAGATCAGGCATGTTCAGACTAGTATGGCCATAGGCGAAATTAGCAGAAAGTGATATCGCTGATGTTGGTATAATATCAAACACTGGTTGCGACAAAAGACAAGACGCTTCTGACTAGGGAAAAAGTGATCTGATTATGACATCATAATCTAAAAAAGAAATAAACAAAAGCTTACGGCACCTGAGGTTCCTAGTTGGTCTCCCATACAAGTACAAAAAAGGCCCAAGTCTGCATGACTTCTGAGATCTGACGAGATCAGGCACTTTCGGACTGGTATGGCCGTAGGCGAAATTAGCAGAAAGTGATCTCGCTGATGTTGGTATAATATCAAACACTGGTTGCAACAAAAGACAAGACGCTTCTGACTAGGGAAAAAGTGATCTGATTATGACATCATAATCTAAAAAAGAAATAAACAAAAGCTTAGGTTCTTAGTTGGTCTCCCATACAAGTACTAATCAAGCCCATCAAGCCCAAATCTGCATGACTTCAGAGATCTGACACTTTAAGACTGGTATGGCCATAGGCGAAATTAGTAGAAAGTGATCTCGCTGATGTTGGTATAATATCAAACACTGGTTGCAACAAAAGACAAGACGCTTCTGACTAGGGAAAAAAGTGATCTGATTATGACATCATAATCTAAAAAAGAAATAAACAAAAGCTTACGGCTCCTGAGGTTCCTAGTTAGTCTCACATACAAGTACTAAGCAGGCCCAAGTCTGCATGACTTCTGAGATCTGACGAGATCAGGCACTTTCAGACTGGTCTGGCCATAAGCGGAATTAGCAGAAAGTGATCTCGCTGATGTTGGTATAATATCAAACACTGGTTGCAACAAAAGACAAGACGCTTCTGACTAGGGAAAAAAGTGATCTGATTATGACATCATAATCTAAAAAAGAAATAAACAAAATCTTACGGCACCTGAGGTTCTTAGTTGGTCTCCCATACAAGTACTAATCAGGCCCAAGTCTGCATGACTTCAGAGATCTGACACTTTCAGAGTAGTATGGCCATAGGCAAAATTAGTAGAAAGTGATCTCGCTGATGTTGGTATAATATCAAACACTGGTTGCAACAAAAGACAAGACGCTTCTGACTAGGGAAAAAAGTGATCTGATTATGACATCATAATCTAAAAAAGAAATAAACAAAAGCTTACGGCTCCTGAGGTTCCTAGTTAGTCTCACATACAAGTACTAAGCAGGCCCAAGTCTGCATGACTTCAGAGATCTGAAACTTTCAGACTCGTATGGCCATAGGCGAAATTAGTAGAAAGTGGTCTCGCTGATGTTGGTATAATATCAAACACTGGTTGCAACAAAAGACAAGACGCTTCTGACTAAGGAAAAAAGTGATCTGATTATGACATCATAATCTAAAAAAGAAATAAACAAAAGCTTACGGCTTCTGAGGTTCCTAGTTAGTCTCACATACAAGTACTAAGCAGGACCAAGTCTGCATGACTTCTGAGATCTGACGAGATCAGGCACTTTCAGACTGGTCCGGCCATAAGCGGAACTAGCAGAAAGTGATCTCGCTGATGTTGGTATAATATCAAATACTATTTGCGACAAAAGACAAGACGCTTCTGACTAGGAAAAAAAGTGATCTGATTTATGACATCATAATCTAAAAAAAGAAATAAACAAAAGCTTACGGCACATGAGGTTCCTAGTTGGTCTCCCATACAAGTACTAATCAGGCCCAAGTCTGCATGACTTCTGAGATCTGGCACTTTCAGACTGGTATGGCCATAGGCGAAATTAGTAAAAAGAGAACTCGCTGATGTTGGTATAATATCAAACACTGGTTGCGACAAAAGACAAGACGCTTCTGACTAGGGAAAAAAGTGATCTGATTATGACATCATAATCTAAAAAAGAAATAAATAAATGCTTTCAGCACCTGAGGTTCCTAGTTGGTCTCCCATACAAGTACTAAACAGGCCCAAGTCTGCATGACTTCTGAGATCTGACGAGATCAGGCACTTTCAGACTGGTATGGCCATAGGCGAAATTAGTAGAAAGTGATCTCGCTGATGTTGGTATAATATCAAACACTGGTTGCGACAAAAAACAAGACGCTTCTGACTAGGGAAAAAAGTGTTCTGATTATGACATCATAATCTAAAAAAGAAATAAACAAAAGTTTACGGCACCTGAGGTTCCTAGTTGGTCTTCCATACAAGTACTAAGCAGGCCCAAGTCTGCATGACTTCTGAGATCTGACGAGATCAGGCACTTTCAGACTGGTATGGCCATAGGCGAAATTAGCAGAAAGTGATCTCGCTGATGTTGGTATAATATCAAACACTGGTTGCGACAAAAGACAAGACGCTTCTTACTAGGGAAAAAAGTGATCTGATTATGACATCATAATCTAAAAAAGAAATAAACAAAAGCTTACGGCACCTGAGGTTCCTAGTTGGTCTCCCATACAAGTACTAATCAAGCCAAAATCTGCATGACTTCTGAGATCTGACGAGATCAGGCACTTTCAGACTGGTATGGCCATAGGCAAAATTAGCAGAAAGTGATATCGCTGATGTTAGTATAATATCAAACACTGGTTGCTACAAAAGACAAGACGCTTCTGACTAGGGAAAAAGTGATCTGATTATGACATCATAATCTAAGAAATAAATAAACAAAAGCTTACGGCACCTGAGGTTCCTAGTTGGTCTCCCATACAAGTACTAAACAGGTCCAAGTCTACATGACTTCTGAGATCTGACGAGATCAGGCACTTTCAGACAGGTATGGCCGTAGGCGAAATTAGCAGAAAGTGATCTCGCTGATGTTGGTATAATATCAAACACTGGATGCGACAAAAGACAAGACGCTTCTGACTAGGGAAAAAAGTGATCTGATTATGACATCATAATCTAAAAAAGAAATAAACAAAAGCTTACGGCACCTGAGGTTCCTAGTTGGTCTCCCATACAAGTACTAATCAGGCCCAAGTCTGCATGACTTCTGAGATCTGACGATATCAGGCACTTTCAGACTGGTATGGCCGTAGGCGAAATTAGCAGAAAGTGATCTCGCTGAAGTTGGTATAATATCAAACACTGGTTGCGACAAAAGACAAGACGCTTCTGACTAGGGAAAAAAGTGATCTGATTATGACATCATAATCTAAAAAAGAAATAAACAAAAGCTTACCGCACCTGAGGTTCCTAGTTGGTCTCCCATACAAGTACTAAGCAGGCCCAAGTCTGCATGACTTCTGAGATCTGACGAGATCAGGCACTTTCAGACTGGTATGGCCGTAGGCAAAATTAGCAGAAAGTGATCTCGCTGATGTTTGTATAATATCAAACACTGGATGCGACAAAAGACAAGACGCTACAGACTAGGGAAAAAAGTGATCTGATTATGACATCATAATCTAAAAAAGAAATAAACAAAAGCTTACGGCACCTGAGGTTCCTAGTTGATCTCCCATACAAGTACTAAGCAGGCCCAAGTCTGCTTGACTTCTGAGATCTGACGAGATCAGGCACTTTCAGACTGGTATGGCCATAGGCAAAATTAAAAGAAAGTGATCTCGCGGATGTTGGTATAATATCAAACAATGGTTGCGACAAAAGACAAGACGCTTCTGACTAGGGAAAAAAGTGATCTGATTATGACATCATAATCTAAAAAAGAAATAAACAAAAACTTACGGCACCTGAGGTTCCTAGTTGGTCTCCCATACAAGTACTAAGAAGGCTCAAGTCTGCATGACTTTTGAGATCTGACGAGATCAGGCACTTTCAGACTGGTATGGCCATAGGCAAAATTAACAGAAAGTGATCTCGCTGATGTTTGTATAATATCAAACACTGGTTGCGACAAAAGACAAGACGCTTCTGACTAGGGAAAAAAGTGATCTGATTATGACATCATAATCTAAAAAAGAAATAAACAAAAGCTTACGGCACCTGAGGTTCCTAGTTGGTCTCCCATACAAGTACTAAGCAGGCCCAAGTCTGCATAACTTCTGAGATCTGACGAGATCAGGCACTTTCAGACTGGTATGGCCATAGCGAAATTAGTAGAAAGTGATCTCGCTGATGTTGGTATAATATCAAACACTGGTTGCGACAAAAGACAAGACACTTCTGACTAGGGAAAAAAGTGATCTGATTATGACATCATAATCTAAAAAAGAAATAAACAAAAGCTTACGGCACCTGAGGTTCCTAGATGGTCTCCCATTAAAGTACTAATCAGGCCCAAATCTGCATGACTTCGGAGATCTGACGAGATCAGGCACTTTCAGACTGGTATGAACGTAGGCAAATTTAGCAGAAAGTGATCTCGCTGATGTTGGTATAATATCAAACACTGGTTGCGACAAAAGTCAAGAAGCTTATGACTAGGGAAAAAAGTGATCTGATTATGACATCATAATCTAAAAAATAAATAAACAAAAGCTTAAGGCACCTGAGGTTCCTAGTTGGTCTCCCATACAAGAACTAAGCAGGCCCAAGTCTGCATAACTTCTGAGATCTGACGAGATCAGGCACTATCAGACTGGTATGGCCGTAGGCGAAATTAGCAGAAAGTGATCTCGCTGATGTTGGTATAATATCAAACAGTGGTTGCGACAAAAGACAAGACACTTCTGACTAGGGAAAAAAGTGATCTGATTATGACATCATAATCTAAAAAATAAATAAACAAAAGCTTACAGCACCTGAGGTTCCTAGTTGGTCTCCCATACAAGTACTAAGCAGGCCCAAGTCTGCATTACTTCTGAGATATGGCACTTTCAGACTGGTATGGCCGTAGTCGAAATTAGCAGAAAGTGATCTCGCTGAAGTTGGTATAATATCAAACACTGGTTGCGACAAAAGACAAGACGCTTCTGACAAGGGAAAAAAGTGATCTGATTATGACATCATAATCTAAAAAAGAAATAAACAAAAGCTTACGGCACCTGAGGTTCCTAGTTGGTCTCCCATACAAGTACTAATCAGGCCCAAGTCTGCATAACTTCTGAGATCTGATGAGATCAGGCACTTTCAGACTGGTATGGCCGTATTCGAAATTAGCAGAAAGTGATCTCGCTGAAGTTGGTATAATATCAAACACTGGTTGCGACAAAAGACAAGACGCTTCTGACTAGGGAAAAAGTGATCTGATTGACATCATAATCTAAAAAAAAATAAACAAAAGCTTACGGCACCTGATGTTCCTAGTTGGTATCCCATACAAGTACTAAGCAGGCCCAAGTCTGCATGACTTCTGAGATCTGACAAGATCAGGCACTTTCAGACTGGTATGGCCGTAGGCAAATTAGCAGAAAGTGATCTCGCTGATGTTTGTATAATATCAAACACTGGTTGCGACAAAAGACAAGACGCTTCTGACTAGGGAAAAAAGTGATCTGATTATGACATCATAATCTAAAAAAGAAATAAACAAAAGCTTACGGCACCTGAGGTTCCTAGTTGGTCTCCCATACAAGTACTAAGCAGGCCCAAGTCTGCATGACTTCTGAGATCTGACGACACTTTCAGACTGGTATGGCCGTAGGCAAAATTAGCAGAAAGTGATCTCGCTGATGTTTGTATAATATCAAACACTGGTTGCGACAAAAGACAAGACGCTTCTGACTAGGGAAAAAGTGATCTGATTATGACATCATAATCTAAAAAAGAAATAAACAAAAGCTTACGGCACCTGAGGTTCCTAGTTGGTCTCCCATACAAGTACTAAGCAGGGCCAAGTCTACATGACTTCTGAGATCTGACGAGATCAGGAACTTTCAGACTGGTATGGCCATAAGTGAAATTAGCAGAAAGTGATCTCGCTGATGTTGGAATAATATCAAACACTGGTTGCGACAAAAGACAAGACGCTTCTGACTAGGGAAAAAGTGATCTGATTATGACATCATAATCTAAAAAAGAAATAAACAAAAGCTTACGGCACCTGAGGTTCATAGTTGGTCTCCCATACAAGTACTAAGCAGACCCAAGTCTGCATGACTTCTGAGATCTGACGAGATCAAGCACTTTCAAACTGGTATGGCCATAAGGGAAATTTGCAAAAAGTGATATCGCTGATGTTGGTATAATATCAAACACTGGTTGCAACAAAAGACAAGACTCTTCTGACTGGGAAAAAAGTGATCTGATTATGACATCATAATGCAAAAAATAAATAAACAAAAGCTTACTGCACCTGAGGTTCCTAGTTGGTCTCCCATACAAGTACTTAACAGGCCCAAGTCACCAGCGACTGAATCTGAGAAGAAGCTGAGGATCAGGCACTTTCAGACTTGTATGGCCATAGGCAAAATTAGTAGAAAGTGATCTCGCTGATGTTGGTATATTATCAAACACTGGTTGCGACAAAAGACAAGACGCTTCTGACTAGGGAAAAAAGTGATCTGATTATGACATCATAATCTAAAAAAGAAATAAACAAAAGCTTACAGCACCTGAGGTTCCTAGTTGATCTCCCATACAAGTACTAAGCAGGCCCAAATCTGCATGACTTCTGAGATCTGACGAGATCAGGCACTTTCAAACTGGTATGGCCATAAGCGAAATTAGTAGAAAGTGATCTCGCTGATGTTGGTATAATATCAAACACTGGTTGCGACAAAAGACAAGACGCTTCTGACAAGGGAAAAAAGTGTTCTGATTATGACATCATAATCTAAAAAAGAAATAAACAAAAGATTACGGCACCTGAGGTTCCTAGTTGGTCTCCCATACAAGTACTAAGCAGGCCCAAGCCTGCATGACTTCTGAGATCTGACGAGATCAGGCACTTTGAGACTGGTATGGCCGTAGTCGAAATTAGTAGAAAGTGATCTCGCTGATGTTTGTATAATATCAAACACTGGTTGCGACAAAAGACAAGACACTTCTGACTAGGGAAAAAAGTGATCTGATTATGACATCATAATCTAAAAAAGAAATAAACAAAAGCTTACGGCACCTGAGGTTCCTAGATGGTCTCCCATTAAAGTACTAATCAGGCCCAAATCTGCATGACTTCGGAGATCTGACGAGATCAGGCACTTTCAGACTGGTATGAACGTAGGCAAATTTAGCAGAAAGTGATCTCGCTGATGTTGGTATAATATCAAACACTGGTTGCGACAAAAGTCAAGAAGCTTCTGACTAGGGAAAAAAGTGATCTGATTATGACATCATAATCTAAAAAATAAATAAACAAAAGCTTAAGGCACCTGAGGTTCCTAGTTGGTCTCCCATACAAGAACTAAGCAGGCCCAAGTCTGCATAACTTCTGAGATCTGACAAGATCAGGCACTTTCAGACTGGTATGGCCGTAGGCGAAATTAGCAGAAAGTGATCTCGCTGATGTTGGTATAATATCAAACAGTGGTTGCGACAAAAGACAAGACACTTCTGACTAGGGAAAAAAGTGATCTGATTATGACATCATAATCTAAAAAATAAATAAACAAAAGCTTACAGCACCTGAGGTTCCTAGTTGGTGTCCCATACAAGTACTAAGCAGGCCCAAGTCTGCATTACTTCTGAGATATGGCACTTTCAGACTGGTATGGCCGTATTCGAAATTAGCAGAAAGTGATCTCGCTGAAGTTGGTATAATATCAAACACTGGTTGCGACAAAAGACAAGACGCTTCTGACTAGGGAAAAAAGTGATCTGATTATGACATCATAATCTAAAAAAGAAATAAACAAAATCTTACGGCACCTGAGGTTCTTAGTTGGTCTCCCATACAAGTACTAATCAGGCCCAAGTCTGCATGACTTCAGAGATCTGACACTTTCAGAGTAGTATGGCCATAGGCAAAATTAGTAGAAAGTGATCTCGCTGATGTTGGTATAATATCAAACACTGGTTGCAACAAAAGACAAGACGCTTCTGACTAGGGAAAAAAGTGATCTGATTATGACATCATAATCTAAAAAAGAAATAAACAAAAGCTTACGGCACCTGAGGTTCCAGGTTGGTCTTCCATACAAATACTAAGCAGGCCCAAGTCTGCATGATTTCTGAGATCTGACGAGATCAGGCACTTTCAGACTGGTATAGCCGTAGGCAAAATTAGCAGAAAGTGATCTCGCTGATGTTTGTATAATATCAAACACTGGATGCGACAAAAGACAAGACGCTACAGACTAGGGAAAAAAGTGATCTGATTATGACATCATAATCTAAAAAAGAAATAAACAAAAGCTTACGGCACCTGAGGTTCCTAGTTGGTCTCCCATACAAGTACTAAGCAGGCCCAAGTCTGCATGAATTCTGAGATCTGACAAGATCAGGCACTTTCAGTCTGGTATGGCCGTAGGCGAAATTTGCAGAAAGTGATCTCGCTGATGTTTGTATAATATCAAACACTGGTTGCGACAAAAGACAAGACGCTTCTGACTAGGGAAAAAAAGTGATCTGATTATGACATCATAATCTAAAAAAGAAATAAACAAAAGCTTACGGCACCTGAGGTTCCTAGTTGATCTCCCATACAAGTACTAAGCAGGCCCAATTCTGCATGACTTCTGAGATCTGACGAGATCAGGCACTTTCAGACTGGTATGGCCGTAGGCGAAATTAGCAGAAAGTGATCTCGCTGATGTTGGTATAATATCAAACACTGGTTGCGACAAAAGACAAGACGCTTCTGACTAGGGAAAAAAGTGATCTGATTATGACATCATAATCTAAAAATGAAATAAACAAAAGCTTACGGCACCTGAGGTTCCTAGTTATTCTCCCATACAAGTACTAATCAAGCCCAAGTCTGCATGACTTCTGAGATCTGGCACTTTCAGACTGGTATGGCCGTAGGCGAAATTAGCGGAAAGTGATTTCGCTGAAGTTGGTATAATATCAAACACTGGTTGCAACAAAAGACAAGACGCTTCTGACTAGGGAAAAAAGTGATCTGATTATGACATCATAATCTAAAAAAGAAATAAACAAAATCTTACGGCACCTGAGGTTCCTAGTTGGTCTTCCATACAAGTACTAAGCAGGCCCAAATCTGCATGACTTCTGAGATCTGACGAGATCAGGCACTTTCAGACTGGTATGGCCGTAGGCGAAATTAGCAGAAAGTGATATCGCTGATGTTGGTATAATATCAAACACTGGTTGCGACAAAAGACAAGACGCTTCTGACTAGGGAAAAGAGTGATCTGATTATGACATCATAATCTAAAAAAGAAATAAACAAAAGCTTACGGCATCTGAGGTTCCTAGTTGGTCTCCCATACAAGTACTAATCAAGCCCAAGTCTGCATGATTTCTGAGATCTGACGAGATCAGGCACTTTCAGACTGGTATGGCCGTAGGCGAAATTAGCAAAAAGTGATATCGCTGATGTTGGTATAATATCAAACACTGGTTGCGACAAAAGACAAGACGCTTCTGACTAGGGAAAAAGTGATCTGATTATGACATCATAATCTAAAAAAGAAATAAACAAAAGCTTACGGCACCTGAGGTTCCTAGTTGGTCTCCCATACAAGTACTAAGCAGGCCTAAGTCTGCATGACTTCTGAGATCTGACGAGATCAGGCACTTTCAGACAGGTATGGCCGTAGGCGAAATTAGCAGAAAGTGATCTCGCTGATGTTGGTATAATATCAAACACTGGATGCGACAAAAGACAAGACGCTTCTGACTATTGAAAAAAGTGATCTGATTATGACATCATAATATAAAAAAGAAATAAACAAAATCTTACGGCACCTGAGGTTCCCAGTTGGTCTCCCATACAAGTACTAATCAAGCCCAAGTCTGCACAACTTCTGAGATCTGACGAGATCAGGCACTTTCAGACTGGTATGGCCGTAGGCGAAATTAGCAGAAAGTGATCTCGCTGATGTTGGTATAATATCAAACACTGGTTGCGACAAAAGACAAGACGCTTCTGACTAGGGAAAAAAAGTGATCTGATTATGACATCTTAATCTAAAAAATAAATAAATAAAAGCTTACGGCACCTGAGGTTCCTAGTTGGTCTCCCATACAAGTACTAAGCAGACCCAAGTCTGCATGACTTCTGAGATCTGACGAGATCGGGCACTTTCAGACTGGTATGGCTGTAGGCGAAGTTAGCTGAAAGTGATCTCGCTGAAGTTGGTATAATATCAAACACTGGTTGCGACAAAAGACAAGACGCTTCTGACTAGGGAAAAAAGTGATCTGATTATGACATCATAATCTAAAAAAGAAATAAACAAAAGCTTACGGCACCTGAGGTTCCTAGTTGGTCTCCCATACAAGTACTAAGCAGGCCCAAGTCTGCATGACTTCTGAGATCTGACGAGATCAGGCACTTTCAGACTGGTATGTCCATAAGCGAAATTAGTAGAAAGTGATCTCGCTGATGTTGGTATAATATCAAACACTGGTTGCGACAAAAGACAAGACACTTCTGACTAGGGAAAAAAGTGATCTGATTATGACATCATAATCTAAAAAAGAAATAAACAAAAGCTTACGGCACCTGAGGTTCCTAGATGGTCTCCCATTAAAGTACTAATCAGGCCCAAATCTGCATGACTTCGGAGATCTGACGAGATCAGGCACTTTCAGACTGGTATGAACGTAGGCAAATTTAGCAGAAAGTGATCTCGCTGATGTTGGTATAATATCAAACACTGGTTGCGACAAAAGTCAAGAAGCTTCTGACTAGGGAAAAAAGTGATCTGATTATGACATCATAATCTAAAAAATAAATAAACAAAAGCTTAAGGCACCTGAGGTTCCTAGTTGGTCTCCCATACAAGAACTAAGCAGGCCCAAGTCTGCATAACTTCTGAGATCTGACGAGATCAGGCACTTTCAGACTGGTATGGCCGTAGGCGAAATTAGCAGAAAGTGATCTCGCTGATGTTGGTATAATATCAAACAGTGGTTGCGACAAAAGACAATACACTTCTGACTAGGGAAAAAAGTGATCTGATTATGACATCATAATCTAAAAAATAAATAAACAAAAGCTTACAGCACCTGAGGTTCCTAGTTGGTCTCCCATACAAGTACTAAGCAGGCCCAAGTCTGCATTACTTCTGAGATATGGCACTTTCAGACTGGTATGGCCGTAGTCGAAATTAGCAGAAAGTGATCTCGCTGAAGTTGGTATAATATCAAACACTGGTTGCGACAAAAGACAAGACGCTTCTGACAAGGGAAAAAAGTGATCTGATTTTGACATCATAATCTAAAAAAGAAATAAACAAAAGCTTACGGCACCTGAGGTTCCTAGTTGGTCTCCCATACAAGTACTAATCAGGCCCAAGTCTGCATAACTTCTGAGATCATTGGGATCAGGCACTTTCGAACTGAGTATATGGCGTGTCCCGAAATTAGAAAGTGATCTACGCTGAAGTTGGTATAATATCAAACACCGGGTTTGCGACAAAGACAAAGAGCGCTTCTGACTAGGGAAAAAGTGATCTGGTGCTGACATCGCAATCTAAAAATAAATAAACAAAAAGCTTACGGCACACAAGGTTTCTAGTTGGTCACGCCATACAAGTACTAAACAGGCCCAAGTCTGCATGACTACAGATCTGGCGAGATCAGAGCGCTTTCGAACTGGTAGCGTAGGCAAAATTAGCGAAAGTGATCGCGGCTGATGTTTGTATAATATCAAACACTGGTTCGCAAAAGTAAAGCGCTTCTGACTAGGAAAAAAAAGTGATCTGATTATGACATCATGTAATCAAAAGAAATAAACAAAAAGCTTACGGCACCTGAGGTTCCTAATTTGGTCTCCCATACAAGTACTAAACAGGTCCAAGTCTACATGACTTCTGAGATCTGACGAGATCAGGCACTTTCAGACAGGTATGGCCGTAGGCGAAATTAGCAGAAAGTGATCTCGCTGATGTTGGTATAATATCAAACACTGGATGCGACAAAAGACAAGACGCTTCTGACTAGGGAAAAAAGTGATCTGATTATGACATCATAATCTAAAAAAGAAATAAACAAAAGCTTACGGCACCTGAGGTTCCTAGTTGGTCTCCCATACAAGTACTAAGTAAGCCCAAGTCTGCATGACTTCTGAGATCTGACAAGATCAGGCACTTTCAGACTGGTACGGCCGTAGGCAAAATTAGCAGAAAGTGATCTCGCTGAAGTCGGTATAATATCAAACACTGGTTGCGACAAAAGACAAGACGCTTCTGACTAGGGAAAAAAGTGACCTGATTATGACATCATAATCTAAAAAATAAATAAACAAAAGCTTACGGCACCTGAGGTTCCTAGTTGGTCTCCCATACAAGTACTAAGCAGGCCCAAGTCTGCATGACTTCGGAGATCTGACGAGATCAGGCACTTACAGACTGGTATGGCCGTAGGCAAAATTAGCAGAAAGTGATCTCGCTGATGTTTGTATAATATCAAACACTGGTTGCGACAAAAGACAAGACGCTTCTGACTAGGGAAAAAAGTGATCTGATTATGACATCATAATCTAAAAAAGAAATAAACAAAAGCTTACGGCACCTGAGATTCCTAGTTGATCTCCCATACAAGTACTAAGCAGGCCCAAGTCTGCTTGACTTCTGAGATCTGACGAGATCAGGCACTTTCAGACTGGTATGGCCATAGGCAAAATTAAAAGAAAGTGATCTCGCGGATGTTGGTATAATATCAAACACTGGTTGCGACAAAAGACAAGACGCTTCTGACTAGGGAAAAAAGTGATCTGATTATGACATCATAATCTAAAAAAGAAATAAACAAAAACTTACGGCACCTGAGGTTCCTAGTTGGTCTCCCATACAAGTACTAAGAAGGCTCAAGTCTGCATGACTTCTGAGATCTGACGAGATCAGGCACTTTCAGACTGGTATGGCCGTAGGCAAAATTAACAGAAAGTGATCTCGCTGATGTTTGTATAATATCAAACACTGGTTGCGACAAAAGACAAGACACTTCTGACTAGGGAAAAAAGTGATCTGATTATGACATCATAATCTAAAAAAGAAATAAACAAAAGCTTACGGCACCTGAGGTTCCTAGATGGTCTCCCATTAAAGTACTAATCAGGCCCAAATCTGCATGACTTCGGAGATCTGACGAGATCAGGCACTTTCAGACTGGTATGAACGTAGGCAAATTTAGCAGAAAGTGATCTCGCTGATGTTGGTATAATATCAAACACTGGTTGCGACAAAAGTCAAGAAGCTTATGACTAGGGAAAAAAGTGATCTGATTATGACATCATAATCTAAAAAATAAATAAACAAAAGCTTAAGGCACCTGAGGTTCCTAGTTGGTCTCCCATACAAGAACTAAGCAGGCCCAAGTCTGCATAACTTCTGAGATCTGACAAGATCAGGCACTTTCAGACTGGTATGGCCGTAGGCGAAATTAGCAGAAAGTGATCTCGCTGATGTTGGTATAATATCAAACAGTGGTTGCGACAAAAGACAAGACACTTCTGACTAGGGAAAAAAGTGATCTGATTATGACATCATAATCTAAAAAATAAATAAACAAAAGCTTACAGCACCTGAGGTTCCTAGTTGGTGTCCCATACAAGTACTAAGCAGGCCCAAGTCTGCATTACTTCTGAGATATGGCACTTTCAGACTGGTATGGCCGTATTCGAAATTAGCAGAAAGTGATCTCGCTGAAGTTGGTATAATATCAAACACTGGTTGCGACAAAAGACAAGACGCTTCTGACAAGGGAAAAAAGTGATCTGATTTTGACATCATAATCTAAAAAAGAAATAAACAAAAGCTTACGGCACCTGAGGTTCCTAGTTGGTCTCCCATACAAGTACTAATCAGGCCCAAGTCTGCATAACTTCTGAGATCTGATGAGATCAGGCACTTTCAGACTGGTATGGCCGTATTCGAAATTAGCAGAAAGTGATCTCGCTGAAGTTGGTATAATATCAAACACTGGTTGCGACAAAAGACAAGACGCTTCTGACTAGGGAAAAAAGTGACCTGATTATGACATCATAATCTAAAAAAGAAATAAACAAAAGCTTACGGCACCTGAGGTTCCTAGTTGGTCTCCCATACAAGTACTAAGCAGGCCCAAGTCTGCATGACTTCTGAGATCTGACGAGATCAGGCACTTTCAGACTGGTATGGCCATATGCGAAATTAATAGAAAGTGATATCGCTGATGTTGGTATAATATCAAACACTGGTTGCGACAAAAGACAAAAGGCTTCTGACTAGGGAAAAAGTGATCTGATTATGACATCATAATCTAAAAAAGAAATAAACAAAAGCTTACGGCACCTGAGGTTCCTAGTTGGTCTTCCATACAAGTACTAAGCAGGCCCAAGTCTGCATGACTTCTGAGATCTGACGAGATCAGGCACTTTCAGACTGGTATGGCCGTAGGCAAAATTAAAAGAAAGTGATCTCGCGGATGTTGGTATAATATCAAACACTGGTTGCGACAAAAGACAAGACGCATCTGACTAGGGAAAAAAGTGATCTGATTATGACATCATAATCTAAAAATGAAATAAACAAAAGCTTACGGCACCTGAGGTTCCTAGTTATTCTCCCATACAAGTACTAATCAAGCCCAAGTCTGCATGACTTCTGAGATCTGGCACTTTCAGACTGGTATGGCCCTAGGCGAAATTAGCGGAAAGTGATTTCGCTGAAGTTGGTATAATATCAAACACTGGTTGCAACAAAAGACAAGACGCTTCTGACTAGGGAAAAAAGTGATCTGATTATGACATCATAATCTAAAAAAGAAATAAACAAAATCTTACGGCACCTGAGGTTCCTAGTTGGTCTTCCATACAAGTACTAAGCAGGCCCAAATCTGCATGACTTCTGAGATCTGACGAGATCAGGCACTTTCAGACTGGTATGGCCGTAGGCGAAATTAGCAGAAAGTGATATCGCTGATGTTGGTATAATATCAAACACTGGTTGCGACAAAAGACAAGACGCTTCTGACTAGGGAAAAGAGTGATCTGATTATGACATCATAATCTAAAAAAGAAATAAACAAAAGCTTACGGCATCTGAGGTTCCTAGTTGGTCTCCCATACAAGTACTAATCAAGCCCAAGTCTGCATGATTTCTGAGATCTGACGAGATCAGGCACTTTCAGACTGGTATGGCCGTAGGCGAAATTAGCAGAAAGTGATCTCGCTGATGTTGGTATAATATCAAACACTGGTTGCGACAAAAGACAAGACGCTTCTGACTAGGGAAAAAAGTGATCTGATTATGACATCATAATCTAAAAAAGAAATAAACAAAAGCTTACGGCACCTGAGGTTCCTAGTTGGTCTCCCATACAAGTACTAATCAGACTCAAATCTGCATGACTTCGGAGATCTGACGAGATCAGGTGCTTTCAGACTGGTATGGCCGTAGGCGAAACTAGCAGAAAGTGATCTCGCTGATGTTGGTATAATATCAAACACTGGTTGCGACAAAAGACAAGACGCTTCTGACTAGGGAAAAAAGTGTTCTAATTATGACATCATAATCTAAAAAAGAAATAAACAAAAGTTTACAGCACCTGAGGTCCCTATTTGGTCTCCCATACAAGTACTAATCAGGCCCACGTCTGCATAACTTCTGAGATCTGACGAGATCAGGCACTTTCAGACTAGTATGGCCGTAGGCGAAATTAGCAGAAAGTGATATCGCTGATGTTGGTATAATATCAAACACTGGTTGCGACAAAAGACAAGACGCTTCTGACTAGGGAAAAAAGTGATCTGATTATGACATCATAATCTAAAAAATAAATAAACAAAAGCTTACGGCACCTGAGGTTCCTAGTTGGTCTCACATACAAGTACTAAGCAGGCCCAAATCTGCATGTCTTCTGAGATCTGACGAGATCAGGCACTTTCAGACTGATATGGCCGTAGGCAAAATTAGCAGAAAGTGATCTCGCTGATGTTTGTATAATATCAAACACTGGTTGCGACAAAAGACAAGACGCTTCTGACTAGGGAAAAAAGTGATCTGATTATGACATCATAATCTAAAAAAGAAATAAACAAAAGCTTACGGCACCTGAGGTTCCTAGTTGGTCTCCCATACAAGTACTAAGCAGGCCCAAGTCTGCATGACTTCTGAGATCTGACGAGATCAGGCACTTTCAGACTGGTATGGCCATAGGCAAAATTAAAAGAAAGTGATCTCGCGGATGTTGGTATAATATCAAACACTGGTTGCGACAAAAGACAAGACGCTTCTGACTAGGGAAAAAAGTGATCTGATTATGACATCATAATCTAAAAAAAGAAATAAACAAAAGCTTACGGCACCTGAGGTTCCTAGTTGGTCTCCCATACAAGTACTAAGCAGGCCCAAGTCTGCATGACTTCTGAGATCTGACGAGATCAGGCACTTTCAGACTGGTATGGCCGTAGGCAAAATTAGCATAAAGTGATCTCGCTGATGTTTGTATAATATCAAACACTGGTTGCGACAAAAGACAAGACGCTTCTGACTAGGGAAAAAAGTGATCTGATTATGACATCATAATCTAAAAAAGAAATAAACAAAAGCTTACGGCACCTGAGATTCCTAGTTGATCTCCCATACAAGTACTAAGCAGGCCCAAGTCTGCTTGACTTCTGAGATCTGACGAGATCAGGCACTTTCAGACTGGTATGGCCATAGGCAAAATTAAAAGAAAGTGATCTCGCGGATGTTGGTATAATATCAAACACTGGTTGCGACAAAAGACAAGACGCTTCTGACTAGGGAAAAAAGTGATCTGATTATGACATCATAATCTAAAAAAGAAATAAACAAAAACTTACGGCACCTGAGGTTCCTAGTTGGTCTCCCATACAAGTACTAAGCAGTCCCAAGTCTGCATGACTTCTGAGATC